CCCACGTCAAAGGACCCCCCCCCCCCCAACATAGAATGTAACATTCTCACAAAACTCATGTGTATTGGAGAACACATATACATTATGAAAGTTCAGCATGTGACGTAGTCGGAAGCAATGCAAATGACATACCATCATGAAATGTCTAAATATATCATGAGCGGACAAATCAACAACACATGGAGGAGATTAAACCATAAATACAAAAAAAAGGGGAGAAAAGTAATCTGTATCAAATGTTCCCTCAAACGTCATTCCGTCTCAAATGTTCCTGGGGTCCATTGTCTCCAGCCATCGGGACCATATGGCGCCAATGGGCACATTGAATTGTGCAAGTAATAAGTAAATTTTTCAATTGAAATACATTTGTTAAGCTCTAGCAACCATTTTTCCTCAGATGGTTGTCATCCATTCAAGAGCCAACATTCTGCGACCACTAAATTAGTACTTTGTTCGCCATTGGGGAGACATTTTCATCCAGTAGTGATGTATCAGAATACCCTGGGCCACAGGTTAAAGGCTCAGAATTTAGGTTAACCCCAAAGACTCGATTAAGAGTCACCATTACCTCATCCCAGTATCTCCTCATGTTGGGACAGCGCCAAGATGTTTAAGGCCGTCGTACGGATGACCCCAAGGGTCAGGTGGTATGTCCACCTTGGGATTTTGATCCAGCACAGGTACCATTGTTGTCAGCTCACTACAGGAAGTTTTGAGATTATTGCATTTCTGGTAGGATCAATAGCTTTTTATTTTCTAGAGATGCACCGATACATCGGCCGAAAATGTCACTTTTGGCTAAATGCTGACAGTGCCATTTTCTGGCCGATACAGCAGTGCATCCGTGCTTTCTTTCCTCCCCACTGGGCGCTACTCTGTGTCCCAGCGGGGAGGAGAGAAAGTGTCACAGGCGGCCAAGCGATGCAGGAGGAGAGCGATGTGAGCGGCCGGCGTCTCTACTCCCCGCACCGTTCAGCCTCCTGTCACGGATTGGCAGAGCGGTGTGTGGGCGGAGACAGCCAGTGCTGTCTCCGCCCACACACCAGCAGGCTGAGCTCCACTCGCTCAACCTCCTGTGACAGTGTGTCAGGATGGAGAGCGGGTACAAGCAGTCGGTGATCAGTGATAAGTGATCGTCGAGTGTTTATAAATCATTGGAGACATAGTATGGTTACTATATGCTCAATTATGAATGAATGGGAAGAGATCGACATCACTTCCTGTTCATTCATGATTGTGGATATAGTAAACACACTCTGTCCTCATGTTATGAATGATCAGGAAAACTCAGTATAGAGGATTCCTGTTCATTTGTAACAGGGGCTGCAGAAAAAGAGATTGAGGTCTCTGTGTTCTATTTTAAAGGGAAATATCAGGAGTCTGTTTAGATCCCTAATATTTCCCTGAAACCCCTAAAAGTAAAGTTACAAAATACAAATATTTAATAAAACATGAATAAATAAATATAATGTTTTTTTTAAAGTTTTATATAAAATATTTTAAAAAATGTGAAACCTCCTACTCCCTACTTTTTTTTAACCTTATTGCACAGATATTAACAACATTCTTTCAATTGTATGTGTATTGGACCTGAAAGGAACAAATAAGGGAAGCTCATTGTTTGGGTTTGCACGCTCTATAAGCTTGGCCACCCCCTCGTGTTCCACAGTGTAGTGTGGGGTTCTCGGCAACCTAAAGAATGGACCAGATGCAATTGTTGGATGTGTGGAGGGGCTTGCCTAAATTGGATGAAATTAATTTGTGATATAGACATGAACAGATCAGACATGAAGCTTCAAATCCTTTTTTGTTTTGTTACCATTAAGAATCTTCTTCTCTTGTGTCTCCACATCTAGCGCGTTCACAAAAGTGTTCACCTTTGGGCCGACGTTTAGAGCTGAGAATTCGCAGACTCGGAGACATTTGGCGGAGTTTTACATGGTAGAAGCCGAAATTTCCTTTACGGAGAGTCTCGAGGACATCATGCAGGTACCATACGGGAGGCTGCATTAAAGAGCACCTGTCATTTATGAGTTCAGTATGCAGCCAGGTGATTGACAGAGAGGGTGCAGGCTGAGGGGGATGATTGCTGGGTTTTAAGTGAAACTCCAGCCCAAAACCGCACCACCACCACCACCTCCGGTCTTTTACACTGTTTATTGTGTTAGGGTTTAGCAATCTTTATGTAGTTAAAGCTGAACACCAGACACATTGACAAATTCATAGAATTTTTACCTACCAGATCATTGGTAGTTACACTATATTGCCAAAAGTATTGGGCCAATCACCTCCATGGCCACAGGTGTATAAAATGACACACCTCGGCATGAAGACGCTTCTACAAACATTTGTGAAAGAATGGGTCACTCTCAGGAGCTCAGTGAATTAAAGTGTGGTACCGTGATAGGTTGCCGTCCGTGACATTTTCTTGCTACTAAATATTCTGCGGTCACCTGTTACTGGTATTATAACAAAGTGGAAGCAACTGGGAACAACAGCATCTCAACCATGAAGTGGTAGGCCACATAAAATGACAGAGCGGGGTCAGCGCATGCTGAAGCGCACAGTGCGCAGAAATCGGCAACTATCTGCAGAGTCAATAGCTACAGACCTCCAAACTTCTTGTGGCCTTCAGATTGGCACAACAACAGTGCGTAGAGAGCTTCATGGAATGGGTTTCCATGGCCGAGCAGCTGCATCCAAGCCTTACATCACCAAGTGCAATGCAAAGCGTGGGATGCCGTGGTGTAAAGCACGCCGCCACTGGACTCTAGAGAAGTGGAGACGTGTTCTCTGGAGTGACCAATCACGCTTCTCTGTCTGGCAATCCGATGGGCGTGTCTGGGTTTGGCGGTTGCCAGGAGAACGGTACTTGCCTGACTGCATTGTGCCAAGTGTAAAGTTTGGTGGCGAGGGGGGAGGGGTTGTTTCTCGGGGGTTGGGCTTAGCCCCTTAGTTCCAGTGAAGGGAACACTGACCTCAACCCCATAGAACACCTTTGGGATGAATTAGAGCGGAGACTGCGAGCCCGGCCATCTCCTCCAACATCAGTACCTGACCTCACAAATGGTCCAACATTCCCATAGACACACTCCTAAACCTTGTGGACGCCTTCCCAGAAGAGTTGAAGCTGTTATAGCTGCAAAGGGCGGAGCCAACTCAATACTGAACCCTACGGACTAAGACTGGGATGCCATTAAAGTTCATGTGTGTGTAAACGCCGGCGTCCCAATATTTTTGGCAATATAGTGTAGATTTTTTTTTTTTTTTGATGTAGGCACAAATGAGCACAGCTCATAAAGCCCATATCCAGCCAATTGTTTTTTTTTGGGGGGGGACCTCTCCAATATCATGCAAAAATACAGACATGCTGCATTTTCTCACAATGCAATGGATCTGGTCACCGTACCGCAGCTCCAGAGTATAAACCTAGTCTGAATGAAATGTCTTTTTGGCATTTTAATTAGGTTTGGAGAAAAAATGTATATAGTGCCTTGAATTGTTACAATGCAAGGCACCGCTTCCTTCTCCCAAGTGACAGCTATGAGTCTGCTGGGGCCGGAGCGAAGGGGACAGTGTCACTCAGGTGAGAGCTCTGAGTCTGCTGGGGCTACTGACATGACATCCAAGATGGCGCCACCCAGCAGCAGTCTCAGGACTTTTGGATGTCTACACAAGGGAGGCTTTTACAGGTAAATAACATGAATAAAATACATTAAATGCACATATAATACTATGGGGAGATCATTGTTGGAATGAATGATCTGGTGACAGGATCTCTTTTAACCCACCCCTTCCTACACTGACTGTAATACAACATGGAGTTTATAGTTCTACCACCGTGACGTAGCCTTACAACCCACTAGCCAGGCTCAGACTTCTCTCCCCCTATGGTAATGGCCCTGTCCAGGTTTCAGTTTGGTAGCTTTGGGTAACGGAGAACAACTTGCAGTCGAGACAAATGTTTACATTCACTGTTCTATATTCATGTGCAGGTGATGGAGGACCTTTTTAAAAGAACGACCTCGTCATTGCTGGATAAATGCGCTGAAGATTTGTCCCTCTTCTTCAAACACGTCTCCCCAGGACAGAAAGTAAGTGTGATGTCATACCAGCCCTGGATTTTCCCGCTTGGACTGACATTTTACGGTGTTGTTATTATCAGGGCCCCAGACTTGCCACGTTTGCCGGACCAAAATCAAACAAAGTGAAGCAAATGGCAACTGCACTCCTCAATTTATAACCAGTGTGGCATTGCGTGGCAATACCACTGTGTTATGTGGCCTTAAAGTGACCCAGGATTCTCAGCCAGAGGGGCTGAGTGGCTCCTGGAAGACATTACTTGTACCAGGAAAGGACTGCCTTTTCAGTCCTTTCCTTGTTTTCTGGATCCTAGTTGGGATCCTGGAGCCGGGAGATTTCTAAAGGTGGCCATACACTGTACAACCATCGCAAGACCTTAGTCTTTCGATGGTTGTAAAGTACTTTAAAAAACGTACGATCTGCCCATCTTGGACAGGCAGATCGTACTCTCGATCATCGCCAGCCTGCCCCCCTGAGGGGCGGGCTTACGATGACTGTAATGAGGGGCGGGCTTAAGATGACTGCAAACAGGCAGTGTGCGCGTGCGCACACCGGCCCGTTTGTCAGTTGTCGAACCAGCAGGCCTCTAACTCGGCGAGAATCGTACGATTCCCGGCGGGTTTTCCAGCCGACTTGTTCGACGGAAGACGTGCGACCGTACAGTAGAAACGTTCGCACGCCTTCCACACACTGCACGCTTCTCGTACGATCGCGGGATTTCCCGCGATTCTCGTACGAGAACCGTGCAGTGTATGGGCACCTTTTTAGAGCTCTGGGTGGGAAGAAATCTCCATTCCATGGGTCCATGCCTTAATAGTTATTATGCACCTGTGTACATCCCTCATGAAGAGGGTGCTGGGATTTGTTCAGGGCCCCACCTGGGAGACAGGAGATTGCCACCTGGAGGCCAGCGCAGCAGGGAGCTGCAGGATAGCACAGTATTGAGGTGGTCTGGAAGAACCAGACCGTGGCCCTGCGGATTGAGGCCGGAGCAGCAGTGCTGCAATAGGGAACTATTGAAAAACTGGGACACCGTGAGTGTGTGAGACGACTTTGTGATTGGTGAGCCAATATATGTATATTCTGCTGAAGACAAGCTTTCTTTATGTTGGGCGACCTGATTACCTGCTGTTAAAAGAAAAATAAAGACTTTTTATTGATGGATAAATGCTGTGCGAGTGCTCTGTGAGCTCCCCAACCTCTCACTAGCTTTAAAGTAAGGTGCACATGGAAGGGCTATACACAAAGATGTTTTTCACTTTATTGTTATCATTTAGGGGGCTAAGAAACCCCTTATATGATTGCAAAGAGGACGTGACAGGTCCTCTTTATATAAAATAGCAAAAAGTTTTCCTGGCACACTCACCAGCCAGCATGTAAAAAACCACTAAGGTTAAAAACAGAGGTTTGGATACACGTCTTCTGCAGAAAATGTGAAAGCCGCACCAAGGCACCTCTTATAGTGCGGTCCTAACTCTAAACTATCAGAGCCTCCATCTTGGAGCTCATGGGGCAGAAGATAAAATTGGGTGCAGGTTTGTCAGGAGGAAGCCCAACCCCCTTAAAGGCACAGAGACGCACAAGGGATCCTGCACATCCCAATGGCAGCTGAGACCCCCCCCCCATGCATCACTGCACCAAAACAGTCAAGCAAAACAGATGACAAACGCACTCAACAATTCCTCACGAGCTTTACAGCAAGGTGCACACGGAATGGGCTTTAAACAGTAAAATAGCAAAAAGTTTTCCTGGCACACTCACCAGCCAGCATGTAAAAAAACTTGTCTCACCACTAAGGTTAAAAACAGAGGTTTGGATACACGTCTTCCGCAGAAAATGTGAAAGCCGATCAGCCGCGCCAAGGCACCTCTTATAGGTCCTCTTTATGGAGACCTCAGGGGTCTCCAAGATCCCTAATGTCACCTAGGACCCCCCAAAGAAGCTGAAGCCGAGATCTGCTTCGTCACCTTCTCTGCAGCGTCTGAAGCTGGAGAATGACACAAGAATGCAGAAGTGATGTACCGGGCACAGCGGAGCTCGGGGGGCCGCGGAGGGGGGAGCACAGATTGGCACATTATACAAGCTGGCGGATAGCTTGTATGTAAACAGGCATCACTGCTTGTTTTTAAATCTGGGCAGTTTCCCGCTCGTGCCGCGTGCGAGTGGGTGGGGCTAACAGGCCGTCTTTAGATGGCCTGTTACATCCAGGAAGCTCCCGGCTGGCCGTTTAATTACCGCGGCCGGCCGGGAGGCGGTTAATAAGCAATATAAATAAATCATAAAATGAAATAAATAACTATTTAATTTTAATACTTTTTTTTTTATCTGCTTAATCGGAAAAAAAATAGTCGCCCAATGAATTGATTATGAAAATAATCGTTGGTTGCAGCCTTAGATTGCTGCAGCTGAGGGGAAGAGAGGCTCCAGGGATGTAAGAGCAATTCAGCTTAGAGGATCGGGATGAGTACAACTTTGTTATTTTAGCTCCCTGGACAGAAATGAGCACCCAGGAACCTGGGTAACCCCACTGCAAGGGTTAAGAACAGTTTTTTTTTTTCCCCCGGAGTGCTTCTTTAATATATCATGTTGCCATAGTGTCAGGAGATGTCATAAGAGTTTGGCTTCTGTGGCCCCGCAGCCTTCTGGGAGGCACGACGCATATCCCAGAAACCTGGGGGTGGAGAGCGGCTACGTCACCCTCGCTTGGTTGGGAACCTGGAAAGTAAATCGGGAAGCATGCAAAAAAAAAAAGGTATTTACAAAAGGCAATACAAATAATGAGCAGGGGTGGGCAACTCCGGCCCTCCGGCTGTTGTGGAACTACAAGTCCCATGAGGCATTGTAAGATTCTGACAGTTGCAGGCATGACTCCCGTGGCAGGGGGATGTTGGGATTTGTAGCCGGAGTTGCCCAGCCCTGTGTAAGAAGAAGGAGGAAAGGAAAGAGTTAGTTGTAGGTTTGGAGGAAGGTCCGCCCTAATATTGCCCTGCTGCTGGTAATTTGGTGTTTAAGCGGTTTGCTGAGCCATGTAAATGTATCTGTTCTTGCAATATTTATACTGTTGTCCTGGAGAGGATTGTGTGCTGTGATGTGATGTGTTAGTTTCCATTAATTCTCTTGTTTCCTCCAATTTTTTTTCCAAGGACAGAAGTGAGAAGCTAATAAAGAACAAATTTATTGTGTAAGTTTTTGTAAAAGGTGAAGTTTAATCTGCTGTTTCTACCCAAAACCTCCCCTTCCCCCAGCAATCTGATCTTCTAATTTCATTACAGGCTTTATTTTAGATCCAGAGATGTTGTCTCTGCGTCTCTGTGCATCTCTATACAATGCAGGCCGATCAAGGCCAGTAGGAGGGGATGGCAGGGTGCTGTACATAGCAGTGACTTGCGGTACCTCTTGCTCCGGGTGAGGGATTCCCCAGCTCCACCCCCTGCCGGCTGAAGCCCCGCCCCCCCAACCAATCCCCAAGCTAGTGTAAGGGAGGAGACAGGGAGGAGCCTCCCTGTCCCTCACTTGCTCCTCACCGCTGAGGTGCTCGTCCATGAAAGGTTACACAGCGGGGAGGATTTCCCTGCTCTGTAACCTGTTAGATGCCGATCTGAATGGAGAAAAAGCTGTCAGCTTCAGACTTGAAGCTGACCGCTTTTTACTCCATAATTCTAGGTGAGCTTCAGCCTCCCCTGACCATCACGTCCATGGTACATAGCTTCCAATACATAACAGCACCCTGCCTCAGTACTCCTCAGCCCTGGTGTAAGCAGTGGGCAGGCTCACCCATCAAAATGCCTTGATGGGTGGTTGTCAGCCTGGAGGAATGGGCATTCTTCAGCAGGCTGAGTTTGCACGCAGACTCCTGTAGGTAAGACCCACATGTGATGCTGAGCCTCCATGATTGAAGGAACTGAAAGCCAATGAATGAAAGGGGTGGGACAAGGGGCAGTTAGGCTGTGGAGGGGAGGGCTGTATGATGCATGTGTACACATGTGATGCTGAGCCGCCATGATTGAAGGAACTGAAAGCCAATGAAGGTCCAGGAATAGTCAGGCTGGGGAGTAAAAGTCTAGATGATGCTGGATGTCCTCCAGCCAGGAAGTGAGGCGGGCTCTATCTGACTTGCTGCAGCTTCTAATGCACATTGTGAGAAGCTTGCAGTGTGAAGAGAAATCAGAGGAAGCCATTTCAGTCCAGGAGAGGAGCCGGTACAACTGTGCAAGACTGAAGGGGAAGGCCGGAGGTCAGATAGAAGACTGAAGGGAAGGACGGAGGTCAGATAGAAGACCTGAAGGCCGGAGGTCAGATAGAAGACTGAAAGGAAGGACGGAGGTCAGATAGAAGACTGAAAGGAAGGACGGAGGTCAGATAGAAGACGTGAAGGGAAGGACGGAGGTCAGATAGAAGACTGAAAGGAAGGCCGGAGGTCAGATGGAAGACTGAAGGGAAGGCCGGAGGTCAGATGGAAGAGGGAGGGCCGGAGGTCAGATGCAAGACCGAAGGGAGGGCCGGAGGTCAGATGGAAGGCTGAAGGGAGGGCCGGAGGTCAGATGCAAGGCCGGAGGTCAGATGGAAGGCCGAAGGGAGGGCCGGAGGTCAGATGGAAGGCCGAAGGGAGGGCCGGAGGTCAGATGGAAGACTGAAGGGAAGGACGGAGGTCAGCTTAAAGCTTCTGATACAGTTGTGTGTCACTTTGTTTTAGAGGCATGTTCCTGGGCACAGCACTGTTTCCTTCAAACCGTTGTCAGAGCTGGACGATCATATGTTGGTCCCCCTCCAATGGCCCACAATTGTTCTGCCCATGTTCACCTTCAGATCTGACGATACACCCTCTTCTCCCGGTAGAACTGCACATAAACCCCTGTAGAACTACAAACCCCAGCATGCCAGAATCCTGCTTTGTAGAACAAGCTTATCAGCTGGAATAATTGGATCAGCCGATGTCCTGTGACTGTTCCTGTCCATTACACAGCAATGCTAAATCGGTTAGTGGGCCCTCTTTATATGGAAACCCGTTCCGTTCATGAGCATAATTGAGCTCCAATTAAGTTAAGCAATCAGGAATAGTTAAGATTCGCCTGAGTACAGTGATTAGTGCCGAGCAAATTGGGGGCTTGTTATGGGGGAAATGAATACTCTAAAAAGAAAAGTGGATCTGCATTTTGCTAAAAATACCTTTCCTCCGTAGGAACAATGACTCTGCACTCTGATGTCGTTAGCATTTGGAAATAAATGCTGCAGACCTGCGTTCAGCTGAAGCCGGACGTTAATGTAAAACAAGGGACGCACCGAAATTTCGGCCTTCGAAAATGGTACTATGGGAAAATTGCCGATAGTACCAAAAAAAAGGGCAGGTGCACCCCCAGCTTCTCTCCTTTCCACTGGGTGCCGGCTGCAATCTTCGGTCTCTGTCCCCTCCGATCCCCGCTGCTCTGTGTCGGCAGAGGCAGCAGAGATTGAAGGGGACAGAGAGCTGATCCAGCTGTCGGCACCGATGACTGGCGGGAAGGGGCGAAGCAGCCAGGATGGAGAGCGGCGCACAAGCACTAAGAGGGCTATTCACAAAAGGGTGAAGAGTTTGGAGAAGGCCGGAGAAGTGAACAATCTAGGACAACATAATTGATCTGTAAAGTGAGCTGAATTGGAGAATTTTTCCAAATCAGCGATGTTGTCCTAGATTGTTCACTTCTCCTGCCTCCTCCAAACTCTTCACCCTTTTGTGAATAGCCCTGTTAGTGATCAGCACTGATTGTAAATAACTGAGGGCATAGTGATTACTAGGACTCCAGTTATGAATGTACAGGAAGTGCTATACATCTCTTCCTGCTAATTTATAACTGTGGACATAGTAAATATTTACTATCTGCTCACTTTATGAATGAACAGGAAGTAGCTCAGTACAGAGGCTTCCTGTCCATTCCTGACTGGGTTGATAGTAAATATTTACTATCTCCACGTTGTGAATGAACAGGAAGTCTCTGTACTGAGAGCTACCTGTTCATTGTGTGCTGGGGCTGCGGAAAAAAAAGATTGAGGACTCTGTGTTCCCAATCCTCTTTTTTTGTATTTTATAAGGGAAATATCAGGGGTCTGTTTAGACCCCTAATATTTCCCAATAGCCCCCAAAAGTAAGGTAAAAAATAAATTTAAAAAAAAATGAAAATAATTTTTTAAAAATTCAAAAATG